ATATATATATATATATATACATATTATGAATGTATTATGTGTCCCCTTTATAAATTTTGCCCTTTCATATGAAAAATACTTCCGCGGTGCCTGGCAATCATTCTACACAACCGCGCGACGATTGCGACGATCCTAATCAGGTATACGCATGTAAAAGTAGTATTATCACACTGCGTCGTCTGTGACACAAAAGACAGCGGTCTGTCACAATCCGCTCTTATCTGCTAACAGGAGATCTGTCACGAGTTCTGATTCCCTCTCCTTACCTCTCCCACCTCTTGCCATCTCGTATCGTGGAGGTGGGATTTATTCGTTGCGTTGAATCTAGTTAAATCAGTCGTGAGTATTGCACCTGCGTGACGAAACGGGGCTGAAGTTCGTGGGGCTGTCCACACGTGGCTAAAATTTGTCAGTCGTGTCGATTTTTAACGAGGTTTGTTCCTTTTTCCTCAGATTATTATATTCACGAAGAAAAAATTTTCTAATAAAGATACCCGTGAATAATAATCCAAGTAACGAGATAATTGACGCGCGAGCAACGTGTCTGTAAATGTGTGAGTTCGTCAACGCGTTCAACGCACGGAAAGTTAAGATTGTGAAAAACGTAAGGACGTGTGATTGATTGCCGTAACGAAACGGAATTACAAAAAAGATGCTTCTGTCTTCGTGCATTAACTATCTTTTTTTATACATCATACTGGTTGTTCTTAATCATATATAGCCAGAGCACCTGCACGGCGAAGACCGTTATGCATAATTAACACGCTTATTTTCTTTTTATTTGATCGTGACGCTTTGTCTTGACGTAATTATTGGTACCGTTAAAAAATCTTAATTAGGCACCAAAGGCAGTTAATGAACTGAACAGCGTGCGTATCTGTGTTTGAAGACGCGTTCGAGCATATACGTAAAGCAGCGTTTCCGTGCACCATATTTCATTTGCTCGTCGATTTATATTTTTCAGTCGCGTAAAATTTTCCTCGCTTCCTTAGTTGTTCCAACCTGTAGAAATTTATATGAATACCTTCACGTCGCGCAGTATAATTTAAACATTTCGTTCGAAAAAGATAATTATCGGCGGTCATAAATTTTTGTAACACGACGGAAATACTTTCTTTTCCAATTTATAAAAATCATCTATTTTAATTTGGAATGTGTTGTAAAATATAAAATTCTAAAAATATTTTAATGTATTCAAATTTTGACATTGAAAAAATATTGCTATAAGCATTTCATTTCGGTATCACATTTTAAAATAGTAATCGAACTGTAATTCATCTGAAATTATCTTATATCAAATCAATACGATCCGTGTTTCATTAAATTGAAGTAAAACTCCAGAAGTGATCTTGATCGGCTTTCAAAAATCCAGACTTACCTTTAAACGGAGACGAATAAAATAGAACGCGAAAAGCTCAGCTTGACTCACGTGTGCGATATTTCTCGTATTATTTTTTTGCACGAATTCAATTCTGAGGCTTTCCGTAGAGAGGAACGATTATCTCTGGCGCGTGACTGATACTGGGCGCGCGCAATGCATTGACCATCAGTATAAATGGCATACCTGACACGCTGAATTGATTCGAACGAGCATCTGTCGTGTGAGCACATGTATGAGCGATGAGTGTTTTCCTCTCTCGTCGCCGCGCCCGTTCGTAGCTCGTTGTTGTTGGTCCGGACTGTGTTCCACGTCCGTCGAATCGGATCCGACGGCGAAGTCTGCGTAGCACGAGACGCGCACCAGTCGCGCGGGTACCATTGTGTACGCTCGAATCCGCTCAGTAGTATTGTTATGTAATATTTTTCCTTTTTTTGTTATTACAACGGTGCGTAACGCTGATTACAGTAGTGTTTAACCGTGCGCGATTCGGCGAGTGTGTCATCAATAGTGTGAGTCAATATTTTTATACCATTTCTGTCATATTCTGTCCGCGTGTCTGTGATTTGATAAGTTTGCCACCTTAATGAGATAATCAGCTCGATCGGTTCAGAAGTGATATAAATTTGATAATTTGAACCGCTGTTAAATTGGCCAGCGCGAGGAAATCGTGTCAATTCCATAGAATTCTTATTTTTTACAAAAAAAAAAAAAAAAAAAAAAAAAAAAAAAAAA